CCAGAAGTCCTAGTTGCTGAGGAACATGACCACTGCGTATAGCTTTAACTATTTGATAGCCATAATACTGATCTGTTGAAAAGTCTTTAACCACATCATTACTCAAGTTAATTAGAGACTCACCAGTTTCCACTCTACTAAAAAAAGGGTTAATTTCATCAAGTAAGCTTCCAATGGGTCCACTCCATTTTGTACCGCTTTTAGTTTCTCCGTCTAACAATTTAATTAAACGTTTGAGTGGTAATTTATTGGTATGTAGAGCGCAGACAATCCAATTTAACTTTCGCCCTAATTTTAGCTCCATAAAGTGCATTACTCCTCCATCCCAACCAGTTACCAAATTATGTTTTAAACTAATTACGGGAGGCACAAATAAAACACTGGCCATGATCATATTTGAGGTCATCCACACACCCATTTTTGAGGGTGAGGAACAACTTTGTATTTCATAACGAACTCTCTATCCGGCCCCTCAACCCAGAAATAATTATTTGAAAGCCCCCGCGACCACGGGCGGCCTCCAGCAACCTTTGAGGCCAACTTGACATAGCCTATGTCACTCCCTGGTTCATGAGGATTATCCATACCAAATTTCAAGTTTCTAGGACCAACGGTCTGGCTGTTAACTGAAAACAAACAAGCAATCAATCAGAATTGACAAATATATATAAGATTTAGTAATCCATGGCTTGAATTGACGCTTGTAGCTCTTAATACTAATTTTTTTTAGTAGCACATGACAATCGAACAACAATTTTGTTTCAGAAACAATTGCTTCAAAACTGGAGTTAACGTCGTTTTTATTGGTAATAAAACGACGTCATTCCAGTCAACTTTTAATAATTTCGATTTAAATGATTCTTTATTATAGTTTTTAAAGCTCCAGTGGTATAAATTATGACTGCGAGTTATAAATAATTTTTTGAAATTAGGACAAATAAGAAATTGAGGTAAGTGATCAGAAATAGAAATTTTTAGGTTTCCAGAAATATTTGGTTAGTGGTTGCATTTGAAAAGATATTATCATTGTTGTTGCAGAATAGTTAATAACAGTCGTTGGTAGCGTAAAAAATGTGTGAATATTATACTATAAGAAATAAGTAAGTTTAAAAATTCAGAAGTTGCAAAGTCAATGTTTAACTGTATCAGATCCATGTTAAAATTGCAAGTGGAAAGACAGATTTATTTTCAGTTGATATTTTTTGGAGAAGGACAGACCATTTATTATTAAAGTTGTTTACGCCTATGTTAGGGTGTCTACATATGCGACCAATAAAGCACAAATAGTACTCAGTACACTATTTAATAGTCCAAGCAATTGCCTCAATACTATTAAAAAACCCTAAGCCGTAACAAAGGGCTCCAAATGTGGCCTCAACAATGTACACCAAAAGTGCAAACAGGGATACCATCCATGCGCAATATGGCACTGTTAGTAATCTGATATTTTACAGCTATTGATGGAATCAGTCTCCCTGAGAGCAACGACAGAGTTAGGGAAACCTGACTACCAGCCAGCCTCAAAACTATAAAACTGAATTTTAGAGATGTACCCTCATTTGGAGATAATAAAAAGAGTTGCCTTGTCATAAAAACAGAGACACAAGCAAAACCGATGCATTGAGTCAAGAAGATACAGCATTTGATAGCCTAAACTGGAAACAATTTGTTATAAATACATCTGCGCAGCCTAAGAGATGAGGAAGGGGTGCGAGGCTGTTGAACAGATAGATTCTGTTTAGCCCTTAAGTCTTTGCTTAGGAGTTGAAACGCATCCGGCCGCTGTCTTCTACAAGACAGTAGCCGAATGCATTAACGTCTGCTTAAGATGAGCATTTTTATCGAGACACCATTTCTAGTCTTTACTCAACAAAAAGCCCAAGACAGGTGGTGTTTTTAGTCGTAGTTGACTTCTCCTAGCTTTTGCCTATAATTATTGTCATACAATTAAAAGTATAATGATAAAATTTAAAATTTTATGATGTAACTACAATTTTTTTTAATGTTTGTAATTCTAAGATGGTTTGTGTATCTTTTGAAAGCGAATTCAACAGAATGCTGTATATTGCAAGGAAAAACCCAATTAGTCACCAACTATTATTATAGACAAAATTTGGAAATACATGGAAATGTTTTCAGTTAAATGTTATTCAATACTTTTTCTCTGTGTGAATCAAAAGTTGTGCGTTAGAACAAATTTCCAGGTTTTTTTTAAAGAAAAGACTTGCATATCTTTCAAAAAAAAAAACGTGGAGGACGATCAAAGAAAATATGCGTTATTAAAATGTGTTTTTTTTTTCTTTATTCAAGTTCACTACATATTTCTTTTGTTTTTGTATTGAGACAAAAAATATCAAATTTATCAGATAGTTAATCAATCTATAAATTCTTTTAGTTATGAGCTTAGTATAATCATGTTTCTTAAATCTTTAATGATAAATGACTTATTGTTAGCTCTTTGGATTTTAATTTTCGTTGGGAAATATAGACTTTACTAAAATAACCTGAAAATATTCTAAATAACATAATTTTTTTTATGAGATAAATTGCAGAAAGTAGGAAATTGTATAAATACGGTGATGATGGTTACTGATACCCTTACAAACATTCTTGTAAGGTTGAAAGTACATTATTCTGTTTATAAAGTTGAGATTTATACACAAGGGTTTTACAATTGATTTAAAAGCGAGTTGTTTAATTAAATAATTAAATCGGCACAGGTGAAGAAACCCACTCATTTTTTTATGATGGTTACTGATACCCTTACAAACATTCTTGTAAGGTTGAAAGTACATTATTCTGTTTATAAAGTTGAGATTTATACACAAGGGTTTTACAATTGATTTAAAAGCGAGTTGTTTAATTAAATAATTAAATCGGCACAGGTGAAGAAACCCACTCATTTTTTTATTATGAGGTTGTAAATTTTATTTCTGAAGAGTATATATATTTGCATGTAAAATTCAAAGTTTTCTCAAATTATTAAATAACTACATTAAAATACGAAAACATAACAATAAAATAAATAGATATAGTAAGAAACAAAACAAGATTTTTTTAATCTTTTTTAAGTCATATGGTGTGACTTTTAAGTCAGCAAATACTGTTTAATAATCTTCAACTCTTCCTTTCTCTGATTTTTTAATGACATTCATGACACAGAGGTTAAAAATAACAGTTAAACAAAACGACAATAAATCAAAAAAGCCGATACGGTGGAAACTAATTTTTCGAGTAAACTCCAATAAAAACTCGGCGCACTCTGTGCAATATAACCCATTTTTTTTGCGTCAATTTAAAAATTTTTAAATGCTTTTTGCCAACTTAAATATAATAGTATTTAAATATAAAATTTACTAAGTAATAATATTTTTTGATAATGATAACTTGAAAAATTTTGACATAATATGATTTGTTATTATTTTATTTACGATTTTAATATATTGTTCAACTAAAAAAGCGCCGAGCTAACTAATATAGAAATTAGGTGTTTTCGATAAATAACGTCACGTTATAGGAAGAAGGGGGAGGGGTTAGTGACTAATATTAAAATTGTTACTGAAGATTTAAGATATTGTAACGAAGGAAGGGTGGAGGGGTCAGAAGCGTTTTAAACTTGCATTATGTGATTTATCGACAACCCTTAGCATGAAAAGTTAAAAACAACTCCGACTCCAAAGCAAAATTTTTGAAAAATTCTTTGTATTCTTTAAAAAATATTACGCGACAAGTTAAAAAATTTATTTTTGTCAAATTTATGAAAAGTTCTTTGAGGTTTAGTATGAATATAAGGTTTATTGAATATTTTTTACATGTTCGAGAAATACAGAGAAGTTTTACTATTGGAGTTGGAGTCGCGATTTTGTATAGCAACTCTGATTCCGACTCCGCTAAAAATGCCGCGGTTTATTGAATATTTATTACGTGCTCGAGGAATACAGAGAAGTTTTACTATTGGAGTCGGAGTCGCGATTTTGTATAACAACTCTGATTCCGACTCCGCTAAAAATGTCGCGACTCCGACTCCACAACCCTGCTTTTCTATTATGAAGTTGTAGTTGACATTACCTTAGCATTAAACTATAACTGCATAGCCTATATTTCTTTTGAAAACTCATTATCAACTTACTCTTAAAAAAGATGCGTCTAACATGAGCTGACGTTGGTGGAACAAAAATAAAATATTGTCAAATATCTACGTATGTATATTTTTTCTCATAAGTACATCTGAGATATACCATAAGTATAGTACATACCATAATATGGTATATGAAAGTTTTGACTTCTTCTGCTTTTTTTTTTTTGGTTTAAAATTTTTTTTAATGGTTATATGTTATATACTTTGAATGTTTATGTTGTAAACACTCAATGTATATAACATAACAATGTATATACAATATAAAAAAGTTTAAAAATTAAAATAAAAGCAAATGGTGAAAAATTTTCAAGACTAAGAGGACTTAATCAAGAAATTTATTTTGTTTACATTTAAAGTTTATTACATCTATACTTTTTTACCGCTGAAATAGGCATTGAACCTTTTCTTTCCGTCTAAAGCTAGCAACGCAATTTAGTATTCATGTTAAATAACTGATTTAAAAAAAACTTATTGCAGCAATCGACGATAAGATTTTAAGTTCGAAAAGTTTTTTTTATACAAATGGTTAAGCAAGTCACACAAGTCATAATTTTGCGACGCTCATGTTTTACTTTTTAAATTACAAGCAATTATATTTTTACAAAAAGAGTTTTACTGATAGAAAATCTGCTGGAAATACTACTGGTTACTTATAAAATTATAAAACAAAGTTCAAATGATTTATTAGCTACGCCTGATTTGTATTAATAAATTTACAACTTTACTATGGTTACACGAACGAAGTTGGTTACAATCTGATTTGTAATTTTGTCAAGCTTAGGAGTTTTCTATTTTTTTTTTATTGTAATTATTTTTAATTGAACTTTAAATTAAAATAAACTGTTTTTGAAACGTGCCTTTTCTAAAGATAAAAAAACTGTCTAACGAACTCCACAATTTTTGTGCTGTCGTAAGGTTTCCCGGCAATATTATCTAAAAGAATGGCTTCGTCTATTTCATTAATTTTTCCATCTTTTCTAAAAATAGGAAGATAAATTTCACGCAGTTGTTCTTCTAATATATCTACATGACCTTGCATAGTTAATATTTTGTTTCCAAATGAAACTATTTCATTTTGGCATTGTTCTGAAGAACCCAACAAAATGGCGTTTGATGGTAAATCAATTACTTCCTCCTCGTGCATTTTAACTAAACGCATGAATTTTTCGCTATGAAATACGTTACTGTAATACTCCATGCTCTGAAGACTGCTAAAAATTTCAATATCCGTTACGGAAATAATGAATCTTCCTACTTTGTTTTTAACCACACGTGCTCCTAATGTTTTGCAAATTAATTGATGTCCAAAACAAAATCCAAAAAGTTTTGGAGCGCTTTGAGATTCCGATTGAAACTGAACAACCCTCTTGATAAATTCGGTTAGTTCCCATATCCATTTAACTTCATCATTAGCAGAACAATAAGAACCTGTTAAAATAAATCCTAAATAACTTTTGATCATATCAAAATCAGGTAGATGTCCAGACACCGCCTTAAAATATTCCCAATGTTCAACTTCATCTTTTTTAAAAAGATCGATGTAAGCTTTTCCATTTTCATCCTCTCCATGGTATTCATCGCATACAATAATTGCAACTGTTTTTGACATTTTAAATATAAATATGCTTACTTGCAGACTTGCTTATTATTTTCTGCTTATTTTATCTACTCAACGAACTTGATTATATTATTAGGAACCTTTGATAAAAAAAAAGGTGAGCAAATGAATGTATAATCCTTAAACAATGTTATCGTTTTTAACAAAAATAATCCTTGATTTAAACAAAACAAGAATTTTTAATTGTGGAAGTAAGTCATTTCCTAAACTTAATATTGATCTATATGGTCTAATCGCCCCAGTGTTAATTTTTTATAGCTAATTGCCCTAGTATTAGTAGCAACAGTAGTAATTGTAGCAAAATTATTATTAATGAAAATAATAATATTAGAGTGAATACACATAAGCAACCCAGTTGCCAAACGTAAAACTTCCCAATAATATGGAATTTATGTGGACATCACATACATGAGGTGCAAATTTTTCTGACAAAGCAGTGAAATAATATTTGTGCAAAAGTGAAAACTTTTCCTTAATAGCTAAAATATTGTTGCATTAATGGTACATTATTGAGTATCTTGGCCAATATCAGACAGGATATGCGATAATGCCCTAATAATGGTAAATAGTATTGCGCAAATATTATCATACCTATTTAGGCAAGATATAACATGCCGATAAAGCTCCAATATTGTTTGTCCAGTATTAGAATGATATTATTGGGGCCGTATTAGCATGTTTATATCCCCCAATATTGACGCATTAGCTCGTTAATATTGACATTTTCACATAGTTGTACGCATATGTAACAAAAATTGTTAAGAAAGTTAATTTTTTCTTTTGGCTTTTAGATGGTTTTTAACTGCAGTAATTATTCTAAAAAATTTGTAAAATTTTATATTACCATAATGAATCAATAATAATAAAAGTTATAAAAATATATGATTTTTGTTGCGTTACATTTACTTATAGTTTTAATTGGTCAAGTTATTTTCCTTTTTAAGTTTTTATAAACCCACAAGTAAAAATGTAATAAAATGAGAAATATCAGTGGCGTTGCCGTAGTTTAGGTCACACTATGTAATAAAGTTTTAATGTCCCCGCTCTAAATTTGCACTAGAAAAGGCGACGATAAAGATTTTTGGGGAAATAAAAAGAAAAGGGCTTTCAAAAAAAGTTAAGGGTATACAAAATACAATCTTATAACCTTGAATAAAAGACGACAGACAGAACTTAAAAACTATTAGTTTAGGTCTAACGCAAAATAAAGCTAACATGAGCATAAATAATTCTGCCAGATTTGTATTTTTCATTTTGGTATCACCCTTATGAGTCAGATTGTGGTGGTGACGGCCCATACCCCCTAGTGACACAATTGCAAAGCATTATTTTGTATTTATAAATTATAATTACTTATTTAAGAAGATTGCAATAGTTGTTCTTTTTCATTATAAGCTATGTTACTTCTAGCTGTTAAGGTTGTTTATTCAAAGTTCTATATTTTTTACAATGCACGTAAATTTTATAAACGTTGATATATACATTAGGTTGATAATATTTTTTTAAACTTTTGTTTAGCCATGGTGCCACACAATAAATTTTAGACTAAAAATTAAAAAAAATCTTAATTATAACTAAAAAAAATTAAAAAACTTCCCCCATAAAGCAAAAAAAGGTTTTTAATGATTTTAGGTCTTTTCAATATAAAGACATGTGTTTCTGATAAATTTTAGATCCTTAAAAAATTAGTACCAGGTATAACTTGTAAATTTTATTACAAAAAATTAGTTTTTGATTGATTGCTTTTTTTCACAATTTGCAATGTTTTTACTTCACACTCTGCACAAATATTGGATCTTACAGTGTTTATAACAGTTTCTTAATTACATTAGTGTCTTAAAAAAGATTTTTTTGCTTTTGCATACTAGTTAAATGCAGCTTAAAAAAATTTATTGTTTGTTCTAATATGATAGTAATCGAAAAACCAGATATTTATCCATTCAACAGTAATAAAATTGCATGCTGGTCACAGTTGTTGCTGATGTTCAGGCAATCAAATAAATGCTAGTAATGCTATAATTTCTCTTGAATTCCATCTAGCATTATTTATATTTGGAAAAGCCTTAAAATTAACTTTTGAAAAAATCTTTTTTTTCCAAATAATATCTGTAATGATGCCCTAGCTCCCACAAAACCTTCATCTCCTTTTGCCATAAAACTGCTGGTATGCTGATGATTGGCGTTGACTGTTTGATATTTATAACCAAGGTATCATATTTTTTTATCAGTTCATCAACAAAAAAATAATTTATATTTGGTGACAATTTTTTTCCTCCAAAAACGTTATCCATGACAAGTTTTAATAACAAATCTAAAACATGATTATGCCACATGATTTTGGCAGCCAGGGCCGTTCCGAGGGAAGAGAGGGCGTAAAAGGTCTCTAGCCCCTGATGAATTTTATCAGTCGGCAAATGATAACTGGAGTAGGCAAAATTGGATCTCTACAGTAGGCAGTCGGCAAATGTCGGAAAACGAGGACCTTTTTTTTTTAGCTAAGTTAGTTAATTTTTTTTTAAGCTTTAGTCGGCAAAAAACAGACACTTCACCCCCCGTTTAAAATCTCTTCGGGACGTCCCTGCTGGCAGCCAATATATTGTGGAACTTCCAATATTCTGGCTATAAACTCTTTTTTAAATATGTTACAACGCCATCTTTTGTATTAGTATTTATCTTTGTTGTTTCACAGCTTTAACTGTGTCGAACGCTTTAGATAAATCTATAAAAGTCCCTAATTCAAATTGCTTTTTATCGAAAGAATTACTTATGCTATTTACAAGATCTAAAATGGCATGTTCGGTTGAGTGTTTTGTTTGAAACCCGAATTGTTTTTGGTTCAAGAGGTTATTTTGAAGGAGATATTCGTATAATCTATTGTAAACTATTCTTTCAAGTATTTTAGAGAAAGTAGGCAGTATAGAGATCGGTCTGTAATTATTATACTTATATTTTGTTATTATACTTACATTAAATTTTAATTATTATATTACAATACTTGATAGATTTTCCTCGTTTAAATACGAAAAATAAACACGTGCAAAAAGATAAACAGAAATTTAGTAATTTTTGCTTTGATGATAGTAATCAATGCATTGAGACAGTATTTACAGTTTAAAAATTATCAAGGTTTAAAGTGTTTTTTTTCAACTAATGAAAGTGATAACTGTTTTGAAATTACAAAAAAAAAATTGTCAAAATAAAAAGTTTTCAAAAAGAGCAAAGCTTTGTCTTGGGGGCTCATTTGCAAATTTAGGGGCCCTTTTACAAATGCAACAGATTTTTTTGTTTTGAATAGGAGGGGTTGTATCTGGTAGCCACGGCACTGTAAATAAGGTATATACAATATATATCAAATTATATACAATATAAATATAAAATTATATTTATTTAACAGTTTTATATAATTTATTTATCAGCAACTAAAGAAATGTTTTCAATTTATTATACGAATCATAAGCATGTGCTCATCTATTACAAGTACAATTAAAACGTTGAAATAAACGTCAATTATATAATTAAAGGTTATGTTTTTCTATCTTCGATGGTGAAAATTACATTTTTTATCTGAAGAATGTTAGGAAATAAAATTTAAAACTAACAGCTAAATTTAATTTTTTTTTACAGCTCATATTGAAACGAGATATTGTGTAAAGAGGTTTTCAAAGAAGTCGTTTTAACAACAATGGAAAAGCTTAGAATTCCTAAGATAACCGTGAAAGCATTCGATACAAGGCTAATGAATCGTTTAAAAGTTTGCCTAATTTCGACAGTGTAATTTTAATTACTTTTTTTTTTGAAATAAACCAATCAAGTTATATATAAATTTACTTTTTCTATAAATTTGAAATATTTAAACGTAGTTTTGCAAGATTTGCTATGGGAACACCTCGTGAGACCCTCACGGGATACCCAGTGGCCATACCCATATAAGTCCAGAGGAAAACCGCGGCCAAGATCCGGCGCGTTCCCGATGGGTTTCCCATATGGGTCCCATTTGCAAATCCAAATGGGCCTCTTACGGTTTAAAGTACGGGATTTGAATAGGACCCATACGGGATACCCGGTGGGCTCACGCATATGGGCCCCATATGGAAACCATGGCCATGATCCGGCGGGATACCGTTGGTCTTTCCATACGGGACCCAGTTGACGACCCGTATGGGCCCTGTACGGTACCCGTATGTCAATGTTGGCTGGGGAGCAAGAGTTGATCATTCAGTAAATTTAAAAAAATTTCTTTAAACTCAGATTTGGTTTAAAAGAGTGGTTCATTTATCCGACATCAGCAAAATTACCTCAGTTTCTTTCTTTAAACAAAAACACTTCATATTGCGTTTGAGATATCTTATTTAAAAAATAGTGTTAAAACTCATTGTTAAAGAGTGTTTGTTTTAAAAAGTTAAATAAGCAATATTCAAATAGTTTTAGCCAACAAGATTTTTGCTTTTCAACTTTAACCAATCAAAATGGTTTAAAACAAATATTAAGTAAGAGTCAATAAAATGTGTGTCAATAATAAAACAATTCTTTTCACGCCACAGAGACAATTTAAACTTAAAGACTTTTTAAATGAACATTTTTAAAAAAAGTTACAGCAATGTCAACTTTATTAACAGAAGAAGAAGTTTCAAGTTTACTTGAATCAAGTATTAAAGCGAAACAATGTTCGTACTCTCCTTACAGCAAATTTCGAGTTGGTGCTGCATTATTTACATCGTGCGGTAAAATATTTACTGGCTGTAACGTTGAAAACGTCAGTTACGGATTAACAATATGCGCTGAAGTAACAGCATACGTCAAAGCAGTTAGTGAAGGCTATACTTCTTTTAAAGCTTGCGCAGTCTCAACAGATGTAAAGGATTCAGTACATTGGCCATGCGGCGCATGTCGCCAGTTTATGGCAGAATTTGGTGATATTGAAGTTTTTTCAACATTTGACGATAAAACTCATACTGTGAGAACACTCAAAACAATATTGCCGTCACATTTTTCCGTTGAAGGTTTAAGAAATGGCCAGTCTATATGAATTGCGAGTCTATTTTATGATTGGTTCATAAGTTTTATTTTATTTTCATTTTAGATAAAACTATCTATGTATACACTATAATTAAAACATAGTTAATGTTTTACCTTTGTTTATTATACTACCAAATATATATTTTTCTAGTGGAGCAGAGATTAAGGTTTTACAATATAAATAATGATTATTTTGAAAGTTTTGTATTTTAATTAATTCAGCCATTATAAGCTAAATAATTGCTTCATTTAAAAAGTGCTTCTTTACCCCATGAAAGCATTAGTTGTAAAATAACTAATAGATATGACTTTTAAAACGTTATATACGTCCTTTCGCCTAACGTCTTTTCACACACAATAAGAACTGCTTTTGTTGTTAATTTGCAGGGTATTTAAAAAAAAAATCATATGGTTTTAAAAAAACTGTATTGAAACCTTTTTCTCAACTCATCATCCTAATCTAAAAACTAAAGATACCGCAAAAATATTTCATTATTTTAATTGAATGATTATCATTCAATGATAAATTTATTCATTTTGCGACGCAAGAACAACAAAATAAAGTTTCTATGGCAACGTTTGTATGACGTAATTAAGCAAAGAAACTTAACTATGACTGATTTGTCTAAAAACTAATTTTAAAGAGCTTTTATTTGTTCATTTCAAAAACTTTAAAAATTTAACGAATGTTATTTATTAAAAAAAAGACTTTTGAAACCGCTAAATTGATAATGGTTCTTATTATACATTTAAACAAATTAAAGTTAAAAAATTAAAATTTTAAACCGTAATACATCATAGTATTTCGGTTTCATAATTTTGCGATTATTTAAAAAAAAAATTATTTAAATATTTTGATGGAGGTTACACTAACTTTTGGGTTGCATAACTAAAACTTTACAAATTTGAATCGACCTAGGGTAGATTAGGGTAATATAAGCACCTTAAGCAAAAATTGGAATATTTTCTAAAATGATTGTGTTGGATCCAAAATTTTTGCAAATAAACAATTTTTAGGGATCCCTTCTCACAATTTACTTAGATATTTGGGTACCCAAAATTTTTTCATAAAAACATAGAGGTTTTAAAAAAGTAGCAAAAGTGCTCATATTAGCCAGACCACTTGGTGAGCACTTTAAATTAGCTCAAAAATTACATTAATTAAGTAAAAAAATAGATTCAACCAGACAATTAGAACTAATTTTTGAAATCTAATGATTCGTTATTAAAAACTTATTATTAAAATATCAAATTTTAAGCAACTTTTTGTTAAAACAATACAAGAGTTTTCCGCAAAAAAAAAAAAATTAATTCGCGTTATTTTTTCAATTTTATTAAATCAAACTTTTGAACGGTAAAAATATCAAATTTTTTGAATTTAAATTACAGAAAAATATTTAGTATTGTTAAGATATTAAAATTTTTTACTATGTTTTGTTTTTATTCAAAAAGCAATTAAAACCACTGCTATTTTAGGACTTTAAACTTGGTAAACATTGCTATTTTAAGACTTTAAACTAATTTGAGCAAAAATGGCAACTTTAAATTAAATTAACTAAATGTTTCTTTGCATTGTTTTTTTAACAAAAATAGATTTAATTTTTAGTTAGCATACTTTTATTTATGAAAAAATTAATTTTTTTTATTTTAGCACCGTAGTTTCGCGCCACAGATTTATTCATGCGTGATAATATTATTTTAACAAAACAAAAACTTTAATAGCATTTTAATTAGATGATAGCCACTAAGTACTGCATATAGATTTACGCTAATTGTATTGATTCCTGTTATCACAACATAAAGTCGGTTCAAAAAATACAAAGCAACTTTAACTTTACTACTTACATCTAAGAAATCTTTAAGTATGCTCATATTATCCTAATATACCCTACTTTTTTTAATTTCGTTATATAAAACTTTATAATTTAAATATTTTTTTTATTAGTTTAAAAAAAATGAAAATGATTACTTCAGTCAGAAAAATTTTGCTTTTCCCTTTTTACACACACCCTGAATAAAATTTTTATCAATTTAATTATTAACCATCATCATAAGGAGGCAAAATAAGTTAATAACAACAAGTATAAATTAAAATATATCAATGGACGCTTCCTTCAAAGTTAGGCAACCAATATTATGTTATTAGTGTATACTTTTTGTTATCATAATATCCTTTGAATACAAGAAAGGACAAGTCAGAGAGATGATACAAGAAGAAGCTGTTTAAAATTGCATCGATAATTTACGGACTATCCCTTAGTTGGGTTAAAATCTCAAAAAGAAAAGGGAAGGCAGAGGAGGCATTTTTTTTAATTTTTTTTACAACTATTTTCGTCATATTTATAATAAATTATTTACAATATATACATTTTGAGTTAAGATATGACAGGAGCAGGCAGAAGACAAAAGTCTTATCACCCAGCCCCTTTGTATCATTTACATATCAAACCAAAAAAAAAAAAAAAAAAAAAAAAAAATTACCCATCATATAAGAAAATATATATATATATATATATACTTATACACACATACACATACATACACGTACACATTCATACATATACATATATACACATGCACATACACATTTACACATACACATGTTTATATATATATTACAATCTCAGTAAAATAATATTAAATACTTTTTTTTTTTCCCCAAATACAATACAAATATAAAGATAAGTAATGATATAAAGTGTGATGCCGCTTTTTAAACAAAAAGAAAAGTTAACGAAGTAAAAATAAGAGAGAACAAAATAAAAATTAGAAATAAAATAATATTTGAGATACGTCATAATCAAGTAACTGTTTTTTTAAGATACTTTTAAAAGTTTGAATTGAAGCTCTTGTTTTACTATTATTTAGGAGAAATGAGTTCCACAAATGTGGCCCTCGGTAAATTATTGAGAATTCAGATTGTTTTAACAAAGTTTTTGGTACCTGATAATTAAGCAATGAATGCTTTGTATGATATTTATGATCTATAATAAAGAAAAGGTCTTCAAAAATATTAGGTAGCATATGATATTTTAATCTAAACATGAATAAAAGAATGATATAGATACTTAATTGGTAAACATTCAGTACTCCAAGCTTACGAAGCAGTGGATTGGCACTGGCGTATTTATTAACATTTAATATAAGGCGGCTTGCCTGTTTTTGTTTTTTTAAAATACAAGTTAGTCTTGACGGATAAGTGCTTGCCCAAGCAATGTTACAATAACTAATATAGCTATGAATAAATGAAAAGTAAATAGATTTTAAACAGTTTTTATCCAACATATATCTAGTTTTATACATGATTCCAATACTTTTTGAAATTTTATTTTCTATTAGATTAATATACTCTTTCCAATTTATTTGCTCATCGATTAAAACGCCTAAGAGTTTAACGCAGTATGTCCGTTGTAACTTGGTTTTTTCTATTAAAATATACGGGAGTTTTAAAGGCAGCGTTTCAGATTTAGAGGATTTAGAAAAGAGAGTAAATTTGCTTTTTGTAGGATTCAGAGAGAGTTTGTTGGCTTTAAACCATTCATTAAGGTTATCAAGCTATACCTCAAGCTCATCCATTACATAGTCCTTTTCTTTTAAATATGATTAAAATTTTTCTGGAGTTTTTTGTTTGCTAGGTTTTTACCCACGTTTATAAAAAAGTTATTAAAACTGTTTGCAATATCTTTTTTTTCACTAGTTATTGTTCTTTCATCCTCAGTATATAAATATTTCGCTAAACAATTACCACGAGTTTTCTTTTCTTTTCCTATCACTTCCTTTATTATATCCCAAGTTTTTTTGTTATTTCCAATATTATTTTGTAATAAAGTTGAGAAATAACTTTTTTTAGCTTTTTTTTTCAAGTTTTCAAACAGGTTTTTGTAAGTTTTATATTTTTTTTCGTTTTGATAAGTTTTTTTTTTTAAATATTTTTCATAGAGTTTTTTCTTAGAAGATTTAATAAAGTCCATTTGTAATCCATGGTAGGTTTTAACACTTGGTTTTAATTTCCTTCATCGGAAACGCTTTGTCGTACGCATTAAGAAACTCGTTGTAAAAAATGCATAAGCTTTATTTGTATCTTTACAATTATGTAGTTGTTTCCAGTTTACTTTGAGTAAATAATTTCTAAAATCCTTGATATTAAATTCAGTAATCTGCCTTTTTATTTCCGTTAGTACTTTGTTTTTTTTTTCTTTTATATAAATATCAGATATAAAAAAAATTGGAAAGTGGTCGCTTATATCGCTTTTTATGATTCCACTTTGAATGTTGCATGTTGCGAAAATGTTAGTAAAAATATTATCAATGAGAGATTCAGTTAGAAGAGTTACACGAGTAGGCTTGTTAATTAAGGGAAGAATGTTGTATTGAAAAAGTGAGTTTAAGAAATGTTTTACGTCGTTATCAATTTTAACATTAAGAAGATTTATGTTAAAGTCCCCCGTGATGTAAATTTGTTTATTTTTTACTTTTTTTAAATACCATTTTATATGTTTTTGAAAAGATTTTTTATTTCCGCTTGGTGGTCTATACAAAGCAGTTACTAATACGTTTTTTTTTTTATTGTAAATAAATATTGTAATCCGCATTTTGAATGCTAAGAATTTCTATTTTCTGATAATGGATTGAGTCGTGAATAAAAATGCATACACCGCCACCAACGCCACCACCTCGAGTTTGGTGAATAGCTTTATAACCTGGAATTTGAAAGTTATTTTTTTCACTTTTGCACCATGTTTCGATTAAGCATATTACCATAAACTCAAAATTTATTTTTTTTAGCATTGATTTAAAGTTTTCAAAGTTTTTACTCATACTACGTATGGTTAAAGTTAATGTTGAAAATAAAGATTGTGACGCATTCATGAGGTTAGAAATTTCCTCAATATCAAAATAGTTTGAGTTGATTATGACGTCCTCAAAAAAGTTTACATCTGGATCAATGTCATTATTCAAAAGAATTGTGTTTTGTTTATTAAAAATTTCAAAAAAATTTGTCGCATTTAATTTATTAGCCATTGTTATTATTAAAATATGCAAGATTAAGATTAAAATTGTTTTCTAACAGTATCATTTCATCTTATTGTAAACCTTTTTTTAATATAATAAG